AGGATGGGTGGAAGCAGTATGGAGGAGAAAAAGCACGACCTTTGTGCTTCTGTCGCTAACACACTCAGCAGAATGAAATTTTTCAGTCCTCCTAAAAACATGTTTTTCTTTTTTACTTGATTGGCCCTTTAAATTTTCCACAGAATATATATTCATTTTATCAGGTCTAACCATACAGCACAGGGTATATACAGAAAATGTTCATTACCTCCTCCTCCTTACCCTCCAGTTCTGGTAGCCATCCATACCTTATGCTTGTTAGACGTAAAGTCCATGTAAAGCCATTGTCTGCTCATTGTCAGAAGCAGCATTACGCCATAGATACATCACCCCAGAACCTGCTTTTTAACCAGCGTGTCTTAAATACCCCTCACAGGACATCAGTCCAGCTAATTTGAAGTAGGGGCATACTCCGTGGCATGCGACCCGCGTTCTAGTCCGTGGTTGCACATTGCAGTGTTTCTAGTTTTGTCCTTATATTTAAAGATTGCAGTAAATATCCTCAGACTGTTGTTTCTATTTCTGCCAGGCAAATTCACAGCAGTATAATGATTAAGACAGGTGTGTGTGTGTCTTGAATTTTCTTCAGTGGTGCCACATGACTGACTGGACGTGTGAAGCCACTGCCCGCCCACCTATGAGGAGGTGCACCCTCTGCCTGCCCCAGCACTGGGTGTTGTCACTGCTGAACGCCAGCACTGCGAGGGTGAAACTGACTGTACCGGTGCACTTCCCTTTCTTTACTGTTCATTAGAGGGGGGCGCTGCACATTTTTATAGGCCATTTCCAGTTCTTTTTCTGTGATTTGCCTTTTTATTTAAAGCCAGCCTGGTTCACATGAAGAGCACTGTGTAGAATACAGATGTGTTGGCTCGGCCAAATTCTGTTAGGCAAGCATATCAACATCATGCTGCTTCGGTGATTCCTTGGTTCAGGAGTGATTACAAAGAGTTAAATCACTGATGTTTTAGAGCAAAATCTATTCAAATATTAAACACGGGTCCATAAACTTAACCACTCGCAGCAATTAGTAGGGTGTGCTCCTAATCTAGGCTCTAATAAAAAGCCATTAACACACACAGTTTTCAAATTAGAATGGGAGCATCATGCTCTTACTGACTAGAGTGTGATTCGTGTGCTTGTGTGACTATGCAGTGTCTGTTCATTCCTTCTGCTGAGTGGGACGGGTCAGTTCTGCATTGGTTCATGTGAATTTGCTGCTGCTCCTGGCAGCCTGGCCTGCATGCGGCACCAGCCTCCCTGCCATCACCTGGCAGGATGAATGACATGTACTGTGCCATGGCTTTCGGCCAGGACTTGGTGCTGGTGGAAGACCTCTCACTGCAGTGAAGCACCTTTCTGATGACATACAGATTCATGTTACATGGATTCTAAAGAAAGATAAGGCATGAGGAAAGCTGGTCACAGCCAGCACTGCTGCTTGAGAGGGGAGGAGCTACTGAGAGGCGAGCTCTCCTCTTCAGAGCTTCCTGCCTCGTGGTGGGGGTGGTCCTGGCTCCATGATGGAAGCTGCAGGCACCCTCTCCACACCCAGGGGTGTTCTGCTTCCCCCTGATTACTGGACAGGAACCCCTCCCAAGGGCTTCTTTGTTGTGGCTAAAATTCGCTGACCACCTGGGTGGGAAAAGCATTTCCCCTTCACAAGGGGCATGAGCACAGGCACGGCGTCTGGCTCACCCAGTAAAGCTGCCTGCTGTCCCCCTGAGCCTACATCCTGTACCCCTCCTCAGAGCCAGCATGGTCCTGTACTTACTCCAGCCCCAGCTGCCCTGGCTTCAGGTCTTAGAGCTGTGAGTCCTGGTCCTCTCTTTTCTCGGCTGCCTCGCCTGTGCAGGAGGGAGTCATTTTTACCTGTTTTGTAGGGCTGTTATGAGGATTCAGGTGCAAGCGAAACATCATCTCTCCATCCACTGCTGTTCAGCCTCTCCCACTCCTCTGCACCTTGCCCATTAGCAGTCTTTCAGGAGCACACAAGGACCCACCTCTGGGCTACCGCCTGGCATCGCCCCCGTCACCACCAGTCCCCTGAAGTCCTGTCTCCAGTCCTGGCTTCACCTCCACTCCTCTCCTCCCTCTGCCACATGCTGCCATCCAGGGCCTGCCCGGCACACCCAGGGTGCATTTGCCCTCTGCAGCGCTGCTCAGAGGCACACTTCCTGCCCAAAGCCTGTGTCTCATGCTCTGGCAGCAGCGTCCTCTGCTTCTGTGCCTCTTGTCATCTGCAGCTTCTCCTCTCTTGCCTGCTGCTCAATCCTCCGCTCCCCAATCAGCTTCTTCCCTTGGGGTTCTGACACCTAAATGTGTACCTTCAGCCCGTACCTCTCCCAGAGATTCCACCTTGGATATTCAAGGACCTAGTTAATATCTCTGCTCAGTTGTGCCTCAGACACTCCAAATCCACACACCTCGACTGAGCTGTTACTAAATCCTCCACAGATCTTTTCTTCCCTTCTTTAAGACGTCTGAGGAAGTGGCATGTCCAGCACTGAGGAGGTGTGGCACCGTGGCAGGGCTTTGCCGGGTATGAGAGGTGGGGAGATGAGGAACAGAGCCTGCTGGTGGCTCCTGGACAAGTTGAAGTTCAGGGTGCGAGCGTGAGATTGGGAGGTTCTGAGGTGAATGTGCCCTCCCTCCCTCCGTCTTCTGCAGGCTCCTCTGCAGTCCCCCTGGGTCTTCAGCATCCTCCCTGCTTCTTTTGCCCCATGGTCAACCCAGGACAAGGTCTGTAGGAGTTACAGCAAGCAAGCAGAAAAAGCAAAACCTCTAGCAACTGCTCCCCATGTCCCCTGCTCTGTCCCTTCCCGTCCCTGGACCCAGTGCTGGGCTTCACACCAACTCTGCAGAGAAGCGGCCTATGAGTGATGGTAAAGGGACAGGCATTGTTGTTTGGGGCGGGAGAGCCTGTGCCCCCACTTCAGTTTTCCTTATTAATAGCAGTAGCATCTGTGGCAGCCAGAGAGTGGGAGGGGGTGACAGTGACCCTGCTGGAGAGCCAGGCCTTCGGACATACACACTGCTCTCTTTTCCTCACCTCAAGATTTGTATGCATCTGGCTTCATTTCTATTTGCTTAGTTTCCTTGGGGCAAGACAGCAGATTCATGAAAAAAGACATCAGGTTTGAAAAGCACCCACTGGTAAGCACCCACTGTCTGGGATGTACAGGTAAAGGGCAAACTGCCCTGGGGGGGGCAGCTCCACTGTGTCCCAGAGCCAGCAGCAGGGGCTCAGAGTCAGACATGTGCCCCTCATGCTCCCTCCCAGGAGGGGAAGTGGAGCCCCAGTTCATTGACACAAGAGGACCTCAATATATTTTCCCATAGAAAAAAAAAAGTAGCTACACAAAATGGTTGTGTCTGTAGAGTACTGGTGCTCAAGCCTGTAATCCCAACATTTTGGGAGGGTGAGGCAGGAAGATTGCTTGAGGCCAGGAGTTTGACACCAAACTGGGCAAAATAGCAAGACCCCATCTTTACAAGAAAAAAAAAAATTAGCCAGATGTGGTGGTGTGCACCTGTAGTCACAGCTACTGGAGAGACTGAGGCAGGAGGATCACGAGCCCAGGAGCTCGAGGTTACAGTGAGCTGTGATCACACCACTGCACTCTAGTTTGGATGAGAGCAAGACTCTGCATCTATTTGTTTTTAAAGAAATCTTTGATTCCCAGTCCTGCCGATCTGTCCAGTATCATACTTAAGGTCTAGTACATCAAGTAGGCCATGACCACAATATATGAAATTGGATTTTTTTCTTTTGAGACAGAGTCTTGCTCTTTTGCCCAGGTTGGAGTGCGGTGGTGTGAACACAGCTCACTACAGCCTCAGCTTCCTGGGCCCCAGCCGTCCGCCTGCCTCAGCCTCCCGAGTAGCTGGGATTACGGATGTGCTACCACTATGCCAGGCTAATTTAAAACATTGCTTTTTGTAGAGGTGGAGCCTCACTATTTGACCATTTGGCTGGTCTTGAACTCCTGGGCTCAAGTGGTCCTGCCACCTCAGTCTCTCAAAGTGTTGGGATTACAGGTATGAGCCACTGCATCTGGTCTTAAAATTGTTAAAAATATTTTCAACTTTCTGGCCGGGCGCGGTGGCTCAAGCCTGTAATCCCAGCACTTTGGGAGGCCGAGGCGGGTGGATCACAAGGTCAAGAGATCGAGACCATCCTGGTCAACATGGTGAAACCCCGTCTCTACTAAAAATACAAAAAATTAGCTGGGCATGGTGGTGCGTGCCTGTAATCCCAGCTACTCAGGAGGCTGAGGCAGGAGAATTGCCTGAACCCAGGAGGCGGAGGTTGCGGTGAGCCGAGATCGCGCCATTGCACTCTAGCCTGGGTAACAAGAGTGAAACTCCGTCTAAAAAAAAAAAAAAAAATTTTCAACTTTCAAGCAATGATTACAATTACAGTTATTGAATATTTATGTGCCAAGCACTGTGCTAATCACTGTACGTGTGTTGTTGCATTTGATCATTATAAGAACACTATGAAGGAGATAGGCCTGTTTTACAGATGAGTAAACTGAGGTTAAGTAACTTCCCCAAGGTCATACAGTTAGTAAGCAGTGGTGTTGGGACTGAAACCCAGGTCCGAGTCCCTATTGTAAAGCATGATGACTTACATTTGAACATGCCCACTTGTTTGGTTAGAGACTGGGCATCACAAGGCCTTTTCCATCCTGTTTTTTATCACTCCCTTTTTTTTTTTCATCACTAGACATTTGCTTATCCTTTTTGAAAGCAATTTTTTTTTTCCTGAGCATTTCTGATTTCTTAAGAGGAGTTGAAGTGGAAGCATATTCACATTATTTTGCAAATGAGTACATGGTAAATATTCACTGATTCTATAAATTATTAGCCACTGCTATGACCATGATGAGAGGAAGACTCACAAATTGGATTAGTGATTGCATTTTGAACTTTCTTAATCTTCTTTTTTCAGTAATCCATTTCTGTTTAAAATTTTGTTTATTTGTTTCTGAAAGGAAGAAGATTTCTCTCCCTGTGTCGGCTGTAGTCTGCCTCTGGCTTCGGCACCTTCCCAGCCTTGAAAAAACAATGCTGCATCTTTTTGAAAAGCTAATCTCCAGTGAGAGAAATTGTCTGAGAAGGATCGAATGCTTTATAAAAGATTCATTGCTGGTACGTGCTGGGCTTTGATGAAAAGCAAAATCCTTAAAGGAGATGCTGGGAATCATTTCTTTTAGTCAAAGAATGAAAGTGGGGGAATGTAAGCAAAAGAGCAATTGGAACCTTTATAAATAATCGTGTATTTACATTTTATTTTTTAAATCGCTAATGTAGGGGGCTATTCTTCATCCTTGGAGCATGCAGGGAGAGACTTGAGGTTTACTTGATTGATGTGCCATATATCACACGTTCACCAGAATTGACATTTGTACAACAGATTTTTTAAAACAGCGTTTTTTATTTCAATATAGAAAATAAGTTTTTAGAAATGAACTTACAGGTTTGAGGAGGAATCAGTTAAACACATTCAAAAAATAAACTTTTAGCTCTTCAGTAGCGGAAAGATGAAATACTCAAGAAACACAAAACCCCAGAAATATGGTTAAAGCAGCAGAACCAGCTAAGAGTTCTGTACGTTTTCTTTTGGTGTGAGGCCACCTGCCTTCAACCCTCCCTTCACGGTGGCACCAGGCTCCCTTCCTGCTCAGAACTGTGCAGGGGGGACTCTGGCCCACATGGACTTTCACCTTCTGGCCCAGTGTCTGGCACCCTGGGCTCTCAGTGGCCCTTGCCATCACTGACTCACTAGTCATCTTCCTTCATGGGAGGCAGCTCTGTGGAATTGGAGCACATTTTGTAAGCACAGGAATAAAGACCAAGGCACCCTGAAAAAAATGATGCAGAAACCTGCAGGTGCCGTGATCCCAAAGCCTTTGTCCTCCAGGAGCCCCAGTGGACTCTGCCCTGTTTTCCTTTTAGCTTTTGTAACCCGCAGGGATGTGGCACAGAGATTGTCTTCTGCCTTTTCCTGCAGGTGGAGAAAGTAGTTCTGGGAGCCACAGTGAACAGTCCGGTCTTCAGTTGGTGGCTGGGACACGGAAGGAGGGAGTGTTCACCCTTGCCCTTGAGCTGAGACTGAGGAAGGCCCTGAGGTTGGCTGTGCCCACGTGTCCTGAGCTCATACAGCCTCTGCCTCCCAGACACCTTCAGCTTGTTTGGTTCAGTTGGAACTTCTGTGTGCTTTCTTTCTCTTTCTAGTTGGAGACGGTCTGAGGGAATCCTAATGGAATCAGTTGCCTTCCTCCTTGATCCCATTTCTCCCCTTGTTTCATGGCCCCTTTCACCCTTCCCCTGGCCTCCCAGGGTGATGTGCATAGGGTCGCAGGTGCTGACAGCCACACGACTCTCACCGATACCTCAGGCTGCACAGACGGAGCCCACCTGACTTGAAAGTTTACCATGATAGAAAAGAAAGGAAGACATGGATATTAAGACTGAGAGAGCTCCAAGAGATTTCTTAAGGATAATTACTACCTAGCCTTACTATCCAAAATAGTTGTATATTAAGGCAAGAAATAGGAATGCACCTTATTTTAAAATGATTGCAGTATAATTCAAAATAAACCAGTACTTTTAGAAGCCCTCTGGCAGCCCATTCCCGGTGATTCAGGGTCATAAATTACCTTTATTGTCTGGTAAATCTATTTCTAACTTACATGTGCATACTAGGATTTCAGTTTCTCTGGTCCCTTTTCAGTGGCAAAATATAGTAACTGGGCTATGCGCTTGCTCCCAGGGTGCTTATGACATTTTCTTTAAGTCTGCTCCCTATTGAAAAATTCTAGTCCCGTTGCCTTTTCTGCAGCCTTTCCTTAATCCTCAGATTCTTCTCTGAACCTTCTCTGGGTCCTTTTTGCCTGTGGCCCTCATGCCTAAGCAGCACTGTGGCGAGCACAGTAGATGCAAGACAGAGAATGCAGGCCGTCCCACTGCACATCACTGTGTAATGTTCAGTGTCCAGTTGGTAGTTTACAGTAATCTCCTCCGAGTCATATGGCTTTTGAAGTCCATCAACTTACAAAAGCTTTTATCAGGATCATGTGTGCAGAAATTCAGAGCTTCCATTATGGTTAAAGGGGGATCCTAAAGGGTGTTATTTGATTTAATCTATTGTGGCGTTGGCAGGATGTGACCTCTCTGTGCCTCATGGTTCAAGGAGGTAATTACAGTACAGACGATGAGCTAGAAGCCCCTAATTGGCGTGGGCTGTTCTCAGCATCCCAGGCCTGCAGTAGCAGAAAGCCAGGCAGGCTGGAATAGGCCTGTGACGTGGCTAAGTGATTGCAGGGGTAACCTGAAGAGCCCGCTTCCTAATTGCATCATCTGATTCATTTATCGCAGTGCAGTATCTTGGTGCAGTGACAGGACGGCAGAAGTATCAGAGAGATCTCTAAGACTCAGTTAGCACGAGACTGCTCCAGAAGAAACATGATGCCTATTACATTAGAGTTGGATTCTGAGAGTAATTAAAGTGTGATGGTCTACATAACTTGTGTTTTATATAGAGCACTGTTAATTATATTTCTCTCTTTTGGGACTGTCCAGAATGAGTCCTGGAAATTCTATAGTTACCAAAATGTAACAAAAACAAAAGATAAAAGTGTGGTACAGGTTGTACAAAGTGAAATGACCTTCCCAAATGTTCTTTGGCCTCTCGGACTCACAGGTCTGATACTGTCCATTAAGACCATGAATAATGAGGGATTAGTCTCCTATTACCAGAGTTCCAAATGACTATGTATGTATTTAACGTCTAAAATAAAAGAGAAGTTTTCAAAGCCTGTTCACTTTTGAGACTTCCCCTTTGGCTTCCCTGTGCTGAACTGGACTCAAGTCAGGCTGCCTGCCACAGTTGGTGGCTCCCAATTCAAGCGAGATATTAACCCTAGATTGTCATTTATTCTGCAGACTGAAACTTTTCAAAAGCAGATGGTCTTGTGTTTCCCTTGACAGCAAGGGCACAGGAAGACCATAATCCATAGCTTCAGACCTGACCTTAAAAACTGATGTCACCAACAGCAGTGAAAGCTACTTGTTAATTATGCAGCCTTCTTGGCATTGTTCACTTTCCCAAGGCTGGCCCCAAATTAGAAGGATGTTATGTTTTCCAGTTACAGTTCTGTTTGTGGAGCCCAGAAAGCTATTGTTTGGATTCCACATTGGAATGAAAAGTGCCTGCAGGGTGTCAGGGTGGTACTGTGCTTGGCTGGCAAGCTGCATGTCAGGGCCAGGAGGTACCCAGTTCCCATGCCCTCCCATTTGCTCCTTTGCCGGCAGAGCCCGCCTGCCGCTGGGTCCAGAGGAGCTAGCCTCACCTTCCCAGGCAGACTTGTCCCTGAAAGGCAAGGAGCAGAGGAGGCACCCAGGAGGCAGAGTTGTTTCTGTTTTTGTCTCACTGAGATTTGACATCAGAATATTCTTTGTGTTCTCTCCTACCTAAAAACCTTTATAGCTCAATGCAAAGGATTTCTTTATCTAATAAGAACTTAGGAATAAAAAGCATCTAGATACCTCAGTATCCTTTTTGATATGGGATAGGACATGTTTCCCACCCCCCCTTATTCTCCAGGTAGCAATTGCAGCATTTCAGAAAGAAAAAAGAAACTTCCGTTACACAAACTCCCAGTGCACAACTCCTCCTTGGTAAAATATTGTATTGAAGAACTCACTCCATATCCAGGATGATGATAATCAGTTTTCTGTGCTTAAGCAGCTTTTCACTAACATGCTGGGGTTTTCTTTTCCTGCGTTTTCAGTCTTTTCAGCACTTCCTTCTGAGCACTTTAATGTTGTGCATGTAACTGAACAATAGCTGAAGTAGATAATTTAGTAGGGGTCCGGTAGTGCTGGCTGATGTGTGTGGCTAAAAGCTTCAAGAGTCTGCGTCTTGGGCTGGAGTTGCACTTTCCAGCATTAGCCTCAGGGGGGCACCAGATCCTCCAGCATCGGCTCTGTGGAGAGAGAGGCCCACACTGCAAGTTTCCTTGCCGTGGAATTGCAGTTGGAATTGCAGTTAGGGATGCAGACGTTGTGGCCAGAGATGAAGGGAGAAAGGAAGAACCCAAAAACAAAGCAGGGGTGGACCTAGGGGTCATTGCCACTCAGAGGCTGAGCTGTGAAGCAGCAGGGGAATGAGGAGCTTTTTTCTGGCCTAGGCTATCTCTGGCTAATTGGATAGAGGCCACTGGGTGAGGCCAGAAGGACTTCAGGCAGGGGTAGGGAATCGGGAAGCAGGTGCCGGGCACCCGTGTACCTCCCACTTCTGTGTCTGAACACGGAGGAGAACACGTGAATTTAAGACGCAGAAATACATTTGGTACTTGTTAAGTTCTTAAGCCCAGGAATGACAGATTTATCACTAATTAAACAGTAATTGCATTATGGAGCATGGAAACAATTGTGTGTGTATAAACAACATCTAGTAAGGATTAAAAAGAAAGAATAATTTTTTCAAATTCAAATTTGTTAAAAGAAACCTGAATGTTTTAAAACAAAATAGATCTGAAAATGTAAAAGGGATAGAGTCTTATGTTTAGTATTTTGAAAGAAGAAGCAAGTGGCATAATAAAAAATACATATTTATAAAGATGCCTCATTGTACATGATAGATGTGAAGGTTTTGTATAAATAGGTTTTGTTTAAGCCAAACCATTTTTTCAGCTCAGTAGTGGAGTTCACTGGTGAAATGACTTTATGGAGAATCTTCTTTTTAAGAAGAAAGTTATTTTGTGGTGAATATGCACATATTAACAACAAGGGCTACCCACTGTGGAGAGAATAGTGGCTCAGAAACAGCTAAACAGTGGGACGGGATTGTCTGGCTGCTAGGTAACCCGAAGGGGAAGCTGCCCATCAGCTGATTCTTTAAATGACCCATTTCCTAGGTAAATATTTAAACTACATGAAAGTACATGAAAACGCCAGAAAAGAATCTGTTCCGGGCTTAATGAACTTCAGCTTCTTTCTCGTCTGCTATTTCCTTCCTATTTTTACGGAGAATATAGCTATGATAGGTGATAGATGTAAAGTACTACCTGATAATTTTTTCTGTTCATTCGTTTCCTATTTATTTTTTCTAAAAGGGATTCGCTTTTGTCTGTGAATTACCTTAAATCATAGTCTAATTTCCCTTTTTGGTTTGTTTTCTCTCGCGTGTGCGCGCTCTCTCTCTCTCCCTCTCTCTCTCTCTCTCTCTCACACACACACACACACACACACACACACACACACAGCAAATGACAGAAGAAAAGAAATGCTTCTTCTTGAGAATTCTGTTCTGTGTCCTCAGGCCTCTTTCAAGTGGCAAGTGGCTTGTAATAATCATTGGTGAGTTGGTATGAAAATAACAGCTTACGTAAACATCAAGGGCCGAGTGTGAGATCCTGTGTAATTTGCACAGTTCATGGTGCAGAATAACAAGTTGGCCTCTCCCTTGCCTCTCCTCCAAAACAGGCACAGAGACCATGGTTATTGTGTATTGATTCCCTGCTGACTGTCTTCCCTTGTGTTTTGAGGGCTGAGGATGGGCTGTCTTTCTAGGTGGAGGGGGAGATAATGTGGTTCTGGGTAGCCGTGCAGGGAGATGAGAGGGAACGCTCTCACTAAACCAAGGGGAAGTATGCCCGGCAGAACAATCTGGTCTATACGAGAAGGAAAGCAGAACCCAGAGCTCTCCATCGTCACCCCTGTGGCATTCAGTGAAAAAACGGGGAGTTGGAGAAAAGGACAAGACACATGTTATTGAAGGCCTCCTGCCGACGTAGCTCCCTCGAGTCGAAGTGATCTGCCCGTGATAATCATTAGGCCAGATGAAGAAGAGAGAGCTTGAGAAGGAACAGATTTTAGTAGGATGGAGAAAAATAAACAGATGGAACCCCAAAAAGGTTTATTTTCTTTTCCCACTTTTACAGAAAAGATAATGGCCCCAGTCATGGGGCTCTAGAGCCCTGGGTTGCAGAGTGCCCTGTGGTATGTTACCGGAGTGCCCCACCTTACAAATAAGACAGGATTCACAGAAGCTAGATGTCTGCTTCATCACTCATGAGGATGCTGCAGAGATTTAGCGGGGGAAGGTATGGCTTCCAAAGAAGCACTTATTAAAACCTTAATTCTATTTGGAAGATTCTCTCAATAAGAAAAGCAGCTTAAAATTACTTCTGTGATTTGATGTCACTGGGACACATGCCTGACCTGTGCACACACCAGTCCTCATGAGGGGACTCACTGACCCTGAAATTATGTGCTCAGAAAGTATAAAGAATCTCATTTTAAAAGCCATTGGTGAGGGGTGCAGATGAGAAGGAGCTTTTCACAGCTGTAGGGTGGCAAGGAAGACCGGTTTTCAAATCAAAATCTCTGCCGTTGCTGTTTCTGCAGGTTCCCCTGCCTCCTGGCCTGTTACCTGTTAAAAGCTAAAATGGGTTGTGGAAGCAGGCTTAGAGTAGCCAAGGGTCTGAAATATTTGGAAAGAAAGAAATCTAAGAGGAGAGTCCATCTGTATGGGAAAGAACAAGCAGATTCTACAGCCAGCAGACATTTAAAACACTGGATTGAGCTATTTTGCTAGAAAACACTGCACAGAAGAAAAGTGTTTCCAAGCTCTCACCCTCTTCTGACAAACTGAGTTAGAGCTGTCTTCCTTGCTCTCCCCCAGTGGTTTTCATGTAGCCCTACTCTACACATCTGATCGTTTTCTTTACTGTTTGGAGATCCCTATAATTATTCTCTACTAGCATCAAACCTATAGAATGGCTCTGGGATGGTTTTCCCATTTAGAAAAAAGAAATTCAATTTTACCATTTTCAAATTTATCTTATTTTCTATCAGTGCATTTCCATGCTCTTTTTTGTCTGTCTGCCTGTGGGCACGTAACAGTGCTATTTGATCTTAAACACTCTTATTCAACAAGGATGTTGTCATACAAAACTTTGAAAATTGCTCTGGCAAACTTAGATCAATCACATTTCTTCAAGATATACAGTTTGCTTTTCCGTTGTTTTATTTTTTTCATTATGAATACGTGGAAACTTTTATATTTTCTGTGCTTATCCAGTGACTTCTTAATAACTGTTATTATTTACAGTGAGACTGGGCAGCAGGAGATTAACTGACATGCCTAAGTTCAAAGCCACGAAATAACGTCCCTCTCCTGCCTTGAACCATGGTCCTGCCAAATTATTTTATTGCAAAGATAATGAATTTGTCTGTAAGAATTTCAAGTTAGTTTATTTTAGATAAAAATGCGCAACAGTGAAGGATGAGGGAGCATAATATTTAAAGAGTAGGACATTGTAACTTGCAAATTGGAAATCTTGAGATAATTAAAAGGTGATTATCCTGTCCTGAACAAGTGGCAGAGCGGCAGTGCTGGCGAGTGGACACTAGATGGCGCGGGCTCTATGTCATCGGTGCCGCGCGGGGCGCGGGAGACTGCGGGGAGGCGCGGGCTGCGTCAGTGTGGTCCAGGGCACCGATGCAGCAGAGCCCCTTTTACTCTCCTTGCTGTGGCGGGCCCATGAAGAGTGCTTCCCAAAGCTAGTCATATCTAATGCAGAATGACTCCAATTTCCGATAGCGTCTGATCCACTAACATGTGAATAGTGCAGTGAAGCAGGGGTCCGCTCCCTCAGGGCGCACAGTGGAGGGGAGCCCCTAGCCTTCCTGCCTGCACCCGCCCCTGACAGAGCAGCGGCAGGCTTCGCTTCCCACCGAACTGGCGCCTCATAGCCTCCGATGATCTGAGGGGCAGCAGTGTTATCCCAAAACCATCTCCCCCTCCCCGTCTGTGGAAACATTGCCTCCCACGAAACCGGTCCCTGGTGCCAAAAAGGCTGCACACCCTGCTATAAAGGATCTGTTTTAGAATACAAATGGGCATTTTCATCTGGCATCAACTCATACTTTGAGCTCTGGCCAAAAAGATAGGGAACCTGGGACTGGGCCACTGAAGCTCCTCCCAGCTCCCAGGGCTACTGGAGGCCAGCTTCTGCAGACTCAGATAATCAGAACCCATCACCAGAATATTCAAGGAGAAATTAGATACCTTTTATTCTAATTCGTTAACCCTCTTTTCATCGTAAATAACGCAAGCTGTTAAATCCATAGTGAACTAAGATGCAATGTGATTTAGCACAGTGTGGTAGTGGTCACTAGTTTGCCAATAATTCTAAATTGTTATGTACTCATGACCTAATAAACAAGCTGCAGGCATTGGCCTGACCTCGAGGCACATCTAGCTGTTTGAGGAGGTCACACACAGGCACATGACACGGGCCAGGCACATTGCCTCATGCCTGTAATCCCAGCACTTTGGGAGGCCGAGGCGGGTAGATCACCTAAGGTCGGGAGTTTGAGACCAGCCTGACCAACATGGTGAAGCCCTGTCTCTATACAAAATATAAAAAAAACTCTGCCTCAAACACACACACACACACACACACATACACACACACACACAGAGGCACACTTCAGTGGAACTGGCAGCACAGGCAGGCTCCACAGCATGCTGGCAGAAGGATGTTTTAAAGTTTCCATAATACTTACTGATTCTGTATTATGGATCACCTGAGCTTGTTATAGAAAAATGTGGAGCATATAGGAGTATACAGAGGAATAAACCATCTGTAACCTCTGCCCAGGGAGACCACCGTCTGCACTTGTATGTGGGACATTTTCAGTATAGCAGTGGTTCTTTTTTCTAACCAAGAGTAATATGCCAGTTTTCTGGCAATCAGCAGTTCCTGATAACACCTTTGGCTGGTAATAGCAAGTTACTGAGAAAGTTCCTGCGGTGATTTCACTTTCTCATGGTCTTCTTTTGCAGCCTCAAGCAGCCTGCCACCCTGCCATATTCCGGGTTGTTGATGAGATGTTCAGGTAAATGTTATGCTGTTTCTTCTAGTAATTGATGTAAAAAATGTTCCATTTCCAAACGTGAATCAGAAAATGTTGTAGGAGTCTCTGGCTGTACATCGGGGAAATTAGAGTTTCTAATTCCCTCTTATTCCTCAGAGCTTTTTGGTAATTAGAGGTAAAAACTCAAAAATCCGTGTAAATTTTAAGGCCAGTGACTAAGAATTAAGATAACTTTCTTTTCTTTAGCCTTTAAAGATTCTAATAATAGAAATGCAGAATTGAGTTAGATATTAATATCTTAAAATAATCATGTAGGATTTTTCTGAGCTCAGAATAAAGGGTAGCAGTATACTCCCTTCACCACGTGAGGGCTGACCAATCTTTTTTTTAAAAGACTTTAAAGCTAAGGAAAGCGAAGAAAATAAATAAATAAAGCCATTTTTAACATAGCTCTTCTGAAAGGCAAAATACACCATGCATGTTCTCTTACAACACATTATATTTTTATTTTGAGAATACAAGTGCTTCTTGGGAAATGCATTAGATTTATAGACGACAAGAGACCAGAAGCTCACAACCATGAAGTTGAGCTGTGGCTGGCAGTCAGTGGGAGTTTTAACCATGGAGTACCAAGACTGGACCCCACTGGGGAGCTTGTCACCTGGGAGTGTCCTAGCCTCTCTCCCCAGGGAGCCCATATCAGCTCTCTCCACCCCCTTCCCAGAGGCTGCAGGGCAGACCTGCAGACTTGGGGAAAGGAATTTTTACAGTAACAATAACTCACCAATTCTTGGCCTTGAAACAGAACACCTTTAAGCTAAATGGTAGAAATAAGTCAGAATACTATTTAGGACTTAAAGCTAGCAAAGTTTGAGGGTTTTTTTTTCTTTTTTTTTCTTTAACAAACATAAAGAAAAATTAATTGTATGAAAATGCACAGAAACCAAGCAAGGCACACACTGACTCTTTCCTGACTTTGCTGGGTGGATGGACTAGGCCATTTTATCCCTTTGAGCACCTTCATCTCCGCTTATGAAAGCAAAATGTTGATGTCGCATGTCCAGGCATACAGTACAAAAATATTTGTACAGAAAATGCAAGCAAGCCTGTGTGGAAGGGATTTGCATTGCTTAATAATTTAAGAACCAAGAAAGAGACCTCTGCACATTGCAATTTTAAAGAAAATATTTACAAAAGGGAGTAACAGATTTATCCTGCTTTCACGCAAGGACTGAAATCTGATGAGTTGAGATACTGCTGAAGCTTATGGCATAAAAAGAGTGTTTCCACTCTTCCCTTATACAGTGCAGGTTTATATGTTTGCTGATTACTCATTAAAACGTGTTCTGATCTGACTTTGCATTGTTCAGGTGTGCACTCCTGGAAACTGATGGGGCCCCAGAAGTCATAGCCACTATTCAAGTGTTTACACAGTGCTTTGTAGAAGCTCTGGAGAAAGAAAACAAGCAGGTTTGTTATATTGCATATATTACTCATTCATCCTAAAGAATAAGAGGCTGTTGAGAGTATTTTGGACAAGAGCACTTTATTTTCGGTAATTTTGTTGGACTGTTCTGCTCACAAAGAAAGGTTCCTAATGAGTGCCCCAACAAAGGTTAAACCATTTTAATTATAAATCAAGATCTGTCTGCCCCGTGCCCTGGTACCCAGAAGCATCTGTCTACTGAGAACTCTGTCATGTCAGCATGCATGGCCCTGGAGGGTGGCTCATCTTGGCCCTGTGTGCAGAGCAGGACACTGCCCTCTGGCTGCATCTGAACCTCCCAGGTCAGCAGGAGGCACACCCTGGGGTCTATATGGCATATGCTGCACAGGAAATAACACTTGTTACAAAGCAGTCCTGGACATTCTTAATTATTAGCATCTTCATTCTTATCAGAGACCCAAATGTGAATTGGATTCCACAAGAGAAAGGAGGTGGTAAGACTGGGAAAGACTTGACTAACTAGAGGACGAGTGCAGTGACCAGGTGGTGTGTATTAGGCACAGTCAGTAAACCAGAGCCCAGGCCTGAACCCTGCAGAAGGCTGTGCTCCAGGTCCCCAGCAGCAGAGGCTGGGCAACAGCTGCCAAGAGTTACTGACCAATTACAGTGACCTTGTGAAACAGGAGCTTTTGCTGCCAGAGAGCCTTCACCTTTTGGCATTTTATTTGGCCTTTATTTCTAATGCTACAGATTTAATGTTTATGGGGCACATTGCCTGTCCAGAGTGGTGCTGGTACCATGCATCTCCTCTGTAGAGTGTGTCACCATCCCTGTGATGCTCTCTGCAGTTTGACTTATAAGAGCAGAGCTGTGATGCCTGGCTCCATCAGATCACATCCCTCCCTCACACTGTCAAATAAATCTCTCAGGTTTTAGCTGATGTTTCTACTTTTTTTTTTTTGAGACAGGGCTTCACTCTGTCACCCAAGCTGGAGTACAGTGGCGTGATCTCAGCTCACTGGAGTCTCAGCCTCCCAAGCTCAGGTGATCCTCACACCTTAGACTCCCTGAGTAGCCGGGACCTCAGATGCACGCCACCACACCTGGCTACTTTTTGTATTTCTTTTTAAAGTACAATTTCCATTTTATTTTTCTCCAGAGAATAGTCTGTCTTCAGTCTTTAAGGACTCAGCTCCTTACATGGGCTTTGGTGCGGGTTGTGGGGAAGCACCCACAGGTCCAAAAAGGAGTGGGGGTGTTCGGTCCTTGTGGGTTTCACGAGATAGCTTCCTGTTTCTGCTTTTTAAGGCAACAATAAACGTATATTTATTTTATTTTATTTTATTTTTGAGTCAAGGTCTCACTCTGTCACCTAGGCCGGAGCGCAGTGGCATAATCATGGCTCACTGCAGCCTTTGACCTCCTGGGCTCAAGTGATCCTCCCACCTCAGCCTCCCAAGTAGTTGAGACCACAGGTGCAAGCCACCACTCCCAGCTAATTTTTAAATTTTTTTGTAGAGATGGAGTCTCCCTGTGTTGCCCAGGCTGATTTTGAACACCTGGGCTCAAGGGATCCTCCCACCTCGGCCTCCCAAGGTGCTTGGATTCCAGGTGTGTGCCTGGCCAACAATAAATATTTGTGATTTATTTTTTCCCACCCTCACTTTCCCTGGAGAAGTTAGCTGGGCTGCTCTTTTCATGGTCCCACTTGCAAATTTGGAGGCAGCTTGGCTAGAAGGCATGGCAGGCCCTCACGGTTATTTTGAGCCTGACTATAATTGTCTTTGACTCTCCCTTGTGCATTCTTTGTAGTCCCCATTAGGAATTGGGCCTCTAGGGAGCTTTGCCTGTGGCCTCCCAGAGCACACCTGGGTTGAAGCAGAGGCCGCGCAGGAGTGCTGCTGTGCTCTTGAGGGTTAGCTCGTGCCTGTTTTTCTTCTTAGCTTCATACTCAGCCTCTGTGTTGGCTGTGGGCACTACAGATTTGGACTGATGTTGCAGTTGCTTTTAATTGAGAATAGTACCCTGGGCAGGCATACGTCTCTAGCTATGTGGAACCACACACTGGGTCCTGGTGTGAGGCTGGGCAGGGATCCAAAAACAAACAGGAATTCACCACCCTCACCTTCAGCTCAGAAAAGGAGAGCAAAGTCTGTGCTTTGCCAGTGCCTTTGTAGGCATCTGTTAGTTTGTTTCTCTTCCTAGAGCTGTTTCTGAGTGCCTGCCTTTTTAACTGATGGCCGTCTTCATCTGTTGACCCTCCGCCTTCTTGAGTGTCAATTTTTAGCTAATCAAAACCCTCCATGTCATATTTGGTAGATGCATGACCCTCTTTTCTCTCTGTGTTTTCCGTGTTTTGTTCATTCATACCTTCTTAATAAAATCAGTATCTCTAAACCCAACAAGACCTGGGCCACACGTGATAAGGACCTGTCTATCCATGTGCTCCTCCCTGCCTCTGTAGCCCTCCAGGTAGCCTCTGGTTTGAATTTTATCTTTATTATTCCTTTGCTCTTTCTGAAGATAGTTTGATCACATATATATGACTGCCTAAACAATGTTTTGTTTAGTTTTGGTCGTTTTTGCACTTTATAAAACAAACAAAAGCAGTATGCCATGTGCAATATTTTGAGACTTGCTTTTCCACTCAGCAAAGATTCCTTGACGTTGCCGTACACGGCTGTGGGGAAGTATTGTTATGCATAGTCCACTGTGAAAACCTATGGCAGTATAGCCATCCTGCTGCTGGTGGGCACTTGGGATGTTCCCAGGGTTTGTTTTTTTATTACAAACGATGTTGCTCTGGACGCTCTGGGTTAGATACTTAGGAGTGGAAGTGTTTGGGTATTTGATATGCAAAGGTTCAGCTTTCGTAGATCCTGCCAGACTCATTTCAAAAGTGTTGGTGCCCATTTGCATTCCCTGCAACAGTTTATGAGCGATCCCATTAATCTACATTTTCTCCCATCATCGGAAGCACTCATATCAGTGCTTCTGTCTCTTCTTACCCTTTCCTCTCGCCCCTGTTCTGTTTGGAGGACACAGTCAGCTCCATCAATTCGCCCCATTAGACAGTAGGCAGAAATAGAGGTGCATGTGACAAGCCACTTTTTCTAAGCCTGCACTGTGGCTCAGTACAGCCAGTCAGGTCCAGTTCTGGTTGCAGCCATGACAGCATCTGGTAATGAGCTAGATTAAATCTCCCACAGATAAAAATGTCAAACTGCAGGCAAAGTATTTTTTGAAATCTGTTTGAAGGCACTACAGAGCACCTGAAAAAGCAGATGGAAACTAGAGACCATCAGCCCTTTAAAGGGACAACACATTGAGAAGTCTCCTGCCTCCCCCAGCTGCCCTCATGTGAGATTGGGAAGGGGTGGGGGGCCCCTTGGCACAATCGGATTGACTTAAGGTGCCAACAAATGGAAAGGTAGGCTGCTAAAGGAACAAGAAAAATTGAGGGGACAAAAGAAAACCAATGTCAAAAGATAGACCTGAACGCAAAACTACCAACAATGACATTAATTTCAGCAATTAAATGGAAGTTAACTAAATATTCTAGTAAAAAGGCAGAAATGTCAGATTATACAAAAAGTGAAGACTCAGCTGGGCACAGCAGCTCATGCCTGTGATCCCAGCACTTTGGGAGGCCAAGGTGGGAGGATTGCTTGAGTCCAGGAGTTCAAGACCAGCCTGGGCAACATAGTGAGACCCGCCCATTTTTAAAAAAAAAAAAAAAAAAAAAAAATTAACTGGGCATGGTGATGCACACCTGTAGTCCCAGCTACTCGAGAGGATGAGGTGGGAGGTTTGCTTGAGCCCAGGAGGTGGAGGCTGCAGTGAGCCATGACTGCACCACTACACTCCAGCCTGGGTGACAGAGCAAGACCCTGTCTTTAAAAAAAAAAAAGATTTTTTTTAAAGCTACTGTAATTAAGACAGTAAGGTATTGGCAAAAAGACAGCCATAGATCCAGATATAGACCCATGCATATGTGGTCAATTGATTTTTGACAGAGACGCCAAGAGAATTTAATGGGAAAAGGAAAGTTTTCAACAAATGATGCTGGAATAACTGGATGTCCATAAGTAGAAAAATGAACCTCAACCGTTACCTTGTAAAGCACACAAAAATTAATTTGAGAGGATCATGGGATTCAACATAAATGTTAGAACAATAAAGCCCCTAGAAAGAGTGTAGGAGAATATATCTGTTTGACATTGGGGTAATCTAAGATTTCTCAGAAGCACTAACCCTATGTGAAAAATGGATAAATTAGACTTCATCAGAATTTAAAACTTCTACGCTGGGGGTATAGCTCATGCCTGCTTATATGCTATGACCCCATGATTAATGCCGTAATCATGGCTAAATAGATTATGGTATAGTCATACAATTCAGACTACTTCTGAGCATTAAAAACAGAATGAACTACTTATACATGCCATAATCTGTTTAGCCATGATGGGTATTAATCATGGGGCATTAATGGGCACATTTAGCACGTTGGGAGCCCAAGGCAGGATCTCTTGAGCCCAGGAGATAGATACCAGCCTGGGCAACTAAGTAAGACCCCTTTTCTACAAAAAAATACAAAATTTCACTGAAGGTGGTGGCACACACCTGTTGCCCTAGCTACTCGGGAGGCTGAGGTGGGAGGATCACTTGAGCCTGGGAGATCAAGGCTGCAATGAGCTGTGATCATGCCACTACACTCCAGCTTGGGCAACACAGTAAAACCCTATCTCAAAAAATAAGAAAGAATTTAAAATTTATATTCTTTGATAGATATCATTAAGGAACTAAAATAGCAAGCCATCAGCTAGAAGAAAATATTTGTAGTACATGTATACGACAGAGGATATGTGTCCAGAACATATGAAGATCTCGTACAACTCCCTAAGAAACAAACCAGTTTTTAAAATGGACAGAAGACTTGAATATATACTTTCAAAAAAGAAATATAAGTTGGCAGTAAGCACATGGAAATTGTTCAGCGTCATATGCCATCAGGAAAGTGTGGGGCAAAACAGTTAGGAAAGCAAGTATTCATAGGGTAGTGTTCCCCAGCCACTAGAATGGATGAAATTGGTAAGACTGACAGCACCAAATGCTGGGGAGCACGTGCAGCAACTGGAATGTACATACATTGCTGGAGGGGGGAGTGAGATGGCACAGCACTGGAAAACCATATGGCCCTAGAATGTCAAACAAGTGTCTATTCTGTGACCCAGCAATTCCATTCCGATGGTGTGCACCCAGAAGAAACAGAAACACATGTCCACAAAAAGACATACATATGCATGTTAGCTGCAGCTTTATTCATGACAGCCCAAACTGAAAACAGCCCAAATGCACATCAAGAGGGGAATGGCTAAACAGATTATGGCATATTCATACAATTCAGACTACTTCTGAGCAATAAAAACAGAATGAACTACTCATACACAGTGACATGGCTTTAAAAAAGCATGTTGAGCCCAAGAAGCCAGACACAAAAGAAAACATACTTTATGTTCCCTTTACACGAAAGTCAAGAATAAGCAAAACTAATCTCTCTTATCAAAATCAAAACATTGGTTGCCAGGGTTGGGTGGAGGGAATGATGGTTAAGTGTTGGAAGGGAACTTTTCGAGGTGATAGAAATGTCGTGTCTTCACTGGGGTGGTGGTCACATGGATTTGCACATTTACCAAACCTCATGTATTTAAAGTCCATGTACTCCATACTTTATAGATTTTATCTCAATTTTTAAAAAAGCTTCTGTGCCTCTTGGGGCAGAGGTAGCTATAGTTCTTCGGCTCTCGAAATGTGAGCACAGTTATTTTATGCTTTTGTTGTTATTTTAAAAGCCATGTTGAGCTGGGTGCAGTGGCTCATGCCTATAATCCCAGCACTTAGGGAGACTGAGGCCGGCAGATCACTTGAGGTGAGGAGCTCAAGGTCAGCCTGGCCAACATGGTGAAACCCCATCTCTACTAAAACTACAAAAATTAGGCCGGCATGGTGGCACGCACCTATAATCCCAGCTACTCAGGAGACTAAGGCAGGAGAAACACTTGACCCGGGAGATGGAGGATGTAGTGAGCCAAGACTGTGCCACTGAGCTCCAGCCTGGGCAACAGAACGAGACTTCATCTCAAATGCAGAATACCTGACACCTCACAACTGCTTTGGCAACTGTTACTGAAAATAGAGGATTTGTATAATTGAGTTCATGTGAGGTAGAACTCATAAAGACATCAAGAGCATAACTTTATTATTTTTTCTTAAGTCCCAGAAGGAGATTTTAAAAGGTTAATTATTCTGGAAAATATGAAGTTGTTGGGAGCTTATTTTTCAAAAAATAAATGTTTAAGAAAATATTCTGACCATGTTGGTACTGGTGGGTCTTTTTTGGGCAGAGGGACTCAGAGTTTTGTATTTTCCTAACCCCCTTTTATTCCTAATGTTCATGTTCTTTGGACTTTCCATCCTGTGGCAGCTGCGGTTTGCACTCAAGACCTACTTTCCGTACACTTCTCCATCTCTTGCCACGGTGCTGCTACAAGACCCTCAAGGTGAGTTAGGGTTGACTTGGCCCACATCAAAATGATTTCCTGGGAAGAGCACTGTCAAACCATGACCTCCCCACCAGGCCCTTGTCTATAGCATGAGGGAGGATTGGTTATTTCTAAGATCCCTTTAAGCCCCCAGGATCCCACATTCCGTGGATTTTGATATGAGAGTCTGCTTGGCCTCCCAGTTGTGATCGCTTACCAAAAGAAGAAAAAGAAAAAACAAAACAAAACAAAAAACCAGTGGTCTTTGGCAGGTTTTGCTCGTCTGTGTCCAGACAACACAGGCTCTGCTGGTGCTAACCACATCCGCCAGATGCCAGGAACAGGCTAAGACTTGGCTGAGTCAGAATAAAACAGTACATTCATTTGCTTTTCATTCTGTCTACTCTGTGCAGCCTTGTTGCAGAAGAAAAGATAAAACGATGGATGAAGCTGAGGAAATGCAGGGGAAGTTTACCTTAACTAAGCTAAGGGAAGGATTTTGAGAGAGTTCAGTAATATGCTTCACCCACAGCTTTTCCTGATATCCTTTGCCAGCCTTCCAGAGGCTGTCCAGTTGGGGAAGTGACGGTTCCAGCCTTCATTTGACTGGTGTTGATCCAGGAATGTGGCTGTTAGCTTGTGCTTAGGAGGCATTTCAGAAATAGAGAATAAGGGCATCCTTTTTCTCTGAGGCCTGAAACCTGAAGGAAGGCAGCCCTAACATGGGCACAGACTGTGCTAGCCAGAAAGGTGTCTTATCAGTGCATGGGAGGAGACGGAAGGGAACAAGCTAGTCACATTTCCCTTTCTTTGTTTTTGAGACGGAGTCTTGCTCTGTTGCCTGGACTAGAGTGCAGTGGCATGATCTTGGTTGACTGCAACCTCTGCCTCCTGGGTTCAAGCAGTTCTCCTGCTTTAGCCTCCCGAGTAGCTGGGATTATAGGCACTTGCCACTGCACCTGGCTAATTTTTGTATTTTTAGTAGAGACAGGGTTTCACCATCTTGGCGAGGCTGGTCGCAAATTCTGACCTCGTGATCCACCCACCTCTGTCTTCCAAAGTGCTGAGATTACAAGTGTGAGCCACTGTGCCCAGCGAGGCCTGCTTTTTTTCTGAGACTTGAGTGAGTAGATTTGCTTGAGAAATGCAGTTGATTCAAAGTTTCACAGCATTTTACAAAACCTAAATTCCTCTTCCTTTCTCTAGAAGATATAAGTTCTCGCCTAGGGTGACCCTCTGACATTGTCCTCTCAGATGCTGGAGCTGGGAGTGGGATCTCTGGGTGACACTTTTATAAAAACCTTTGGGAACACAATGGGAAACTTTATTAACAAGACAGAAAAATGAGGAATTCACTGTCCCAGGTCAGCTTAGGTCAGATCAGCAAAGCCTAAAACCAGCCCACAGTGGACACGGAGTGAGCTCCAGAAAATGGACTGGAGGTGTTAGTGTCTCAGTTTGGAAACAGTAAGCAAACGGCGAGGTGGTGCGCGGACACGGGCTCAGACCCCACCTATCCATTTGTGTAATCGTTTATGCCCAAATACAAATAGGTGGCTTCAAGCAGAAGTACAAGAGCCTTTTGTGCCAGTCCCTAGAAGAGCTGTCTGTATGTTACTTTTGGAAACAATGAGTGTTATGGTCACAAACTGAAGAAGTGTTTTTTAGTAGCATAACCTTCTGTTTATCAGAAATTTATTTCCTACCCGCTGTGAAGGCCAGGGGAGGGGACATAAAAGTTGATCACTTACAAGCACTAACCATCTAGGAACTACAAGTGGAGGAAAAGCAAAACAAATATCTAAATAACTAGTAAAAGGAAGAAATGAAAAATGCCTTCAAAAGGCTGTGCTCTAAGGGCTGTGGGAGCTCAGAGGAGAGAGGGCTGGCCTTGTGGAGGAACGGCAGTTCATCCATCACTGGCCTTACCTTCCTTGTGTGTTCGATCACAGCACCTATCACTGCGTGAAAACTTTCGCAGATGCTGTGTAGAACTGCAGATATGTGCTCCTCAGATGTGTTGAAAACCACGGGATGATTGTGAAACCAGAGTAATTCACTCAAGAAAAGACATTTGTTTGCAATAATGCTCAGTTATTTTTTTTTCCTGGCCTTTTTTTCCCACTACTTGAAAGCATATTCTGAATTCATCATAGCCTAGGAAAACAGTCAGGCAGTCTATTCCTAATTCCTTGTTGGCTGCTTTATTACAGTCTCCATCTATTTTGAAATCACACATTAGTGATAGAGGAGCAGGTAGGTAGGAAAGAAGAAACCTGGGGCATCTGCAACATGGCATTTCTCAGCCTCGGGTGGGCTGCTTATGCAGACTCTAGCTACTTCCATATACCTGAATTAAAAATTACTTGAGGCCAAGTGGGGAGGATCACTTGAGCCTAGGAATTTGAGACAAGTCTGAGTAACATAGTGAAATCTCATCTCTACAAAAAATTAAATAGCTGGGCGTGATGGCATACCCCTGTAGTCCCAGCCACTGGGGAGGCTGAGGTAGGAGGATTGCTTGAGGTTGGGGCTGCAGTGAGCCAGGATCGTGCTACTGCACTCCAGCCTCTGGCAGAGCAAGAACATGT